TCGGCGGCATGCAATAAATTGCGGTGGAAGGCATTTCCCCAAGCGCCTCAACGTCAATTGGCGACACCGATTGTCCCTCGCCAATCCCAACAACATGTGGGAAGCAGTGCGATACTTTCAGCCGAGAGGCCAAATATGAAGACCGGCCCACACTACACATGGGGGGCTGGATGATCCATGGCGACCAATCTATATCCCATGCACTTCTGGAGCCCTTGGTTGTCCCTGCTACCCAATATGAGCAGCCCTCGTCACGTAGACTGAGGCGGGGATCATCACCCCCATCGTCTGCCTTCAAGCCCAATTATTGAGCATTGGCTCCTGTGCCAGACTTTGCCCATGGGCCACCTTTATGATTCAGCAGCCCCAAGATGAGCTCATTCACTTGTGGATTCTGGACCGGTCACTCATCCCCGATCGCACGTCAAAATGCTGATCAGTCACCACGAAATGTGAGTCAAGGGTCCCTTTTCTGATCCATTTGCATGCCGCAGGCGTTTGACTGCCCTCTGCCGGATATGCAATTCATTTCGATGTACATGTTGCCAATTTCCTAGACGGGGGGCATGCTGAGCAACATGCCCATGAAGGGCTTGAAATGCATACCGCCACGGTTGTCTGGCTCAAATCAGTGCCATGGCCGGACTTGGTCTTGTGGGAGTCGGTCTTGTGGGAGTTGATTTGTGGGAGTGGGCTCGTGGGCGTTGGTCTTGTGGGAGTCGGTTTTGTGGACTCGGTCTTGTGGGAGTCGATTCGTGGGAGTGGTTCGTGAGTGATTCGTAGGAGTTGCTTCACGGGAGTTGGTCTGTGGAAGTGGGAGTGGAAGTCGACCAGGAGTTGAGTGAGAAACAGAATCATCTGCTCGGACAAAAAATCATGGCCATTTAAATCGGCCGCAGCTGTCAAATTGGTCAAGAAAAGAGGTCCGAAGAGATCTTATAAAGTTGATTAGAGCGAGCATTGGTGTGAGTCGAAAGTTGGAGACCGGCAGAGCCACGCCAAAGCGTGGTCTGTATTTTCAACCGAGCATCACCAGAACAAGCCCAGCATTAGGCACTCGAGCATTGTGAATGAGATCTTCTCTGGCAAGGCCACTGTCATGTGCGAACCAACTCCGCGGGACGTCGCGTAAACAATACTGCACCCGCGTCTGGGACGGCCTTACGGCCTTTGCCGTCGCGTTGGATCAAAAGCAGCTTCCCCTTGCCAAACACTGGTGGACGGAAACGTCAGTGCCAACCTTTCTCGCTTTGGAGACACCAGGCTGAATTCCATCCATGAGGGCGTGAGCGCCGTCATCGTTCTGCATCCTTGCTTGACAGGTAGCTCAGCTGGCGAATGTTTAATTTCTTGCAAACCCTGTCTACAATGCTGCGCGACCGACTTCTACCGATCTCCACGGACACTCTGCAGTATTCGAGCGAAAGTGCATTGTAGCCTGTCATCCACTCAGCCTTTGCGATGACATGCTAGTGGACGCCGTTCTTGTGCTTGATTCAAAGTGATGCGATCGAGACAAGGCGAAAGCTGAAACTTCAGTAGAGTCTCAACACAGGGAATCACTTCATTCAGAGAACCTTGATGGATTGACATTGTTCATGGGCTGATCGGACTTGACTACCAAGCGGCACGGATGAAAGCGCGTTCGCTGGTACTTGATGTTCTGTCAGTGGACGATTGTGTCCCAATGCGAGTGACATGAGGCCCACATCTGGGAAGATATACAGTGCTGTCTGCGAGCTCGGCAACTCTGGCCCGACTGACAGAGCAATCGACGAAGCGCCACCGCCGGTGTGTTACTTCATCTGGTCGATCTCATACGGCTCTTCAGTCTTCAAGCACATCGAAAAGCTTTCCTACTTTATCATATCAGTAGTCATTCTGAGGTCTGGGAGATCTCATCAAGGGTGCATTCGCATTGCGCCGTCTCTCGAAGTATCGATCAAATCACGGTCCTGCTCGAGTGGTCCAAAATCGAATGGGTCTCTCGAGATTCTTGTCGGTTGCTGACCCGAATGCCACCTTGCTTTCCTTCAAAACATTCGCTGCTATCACGTGACACGCGGCCACGGCCCCGATGCTGCTGAAGAGAAATCGATTTGAGCTTCCAAAAATCCATGCCCATTTTATTGGCGAATCGAAAAATACAGAAATCAGTGTACTCGGTGAAATCAATTTCACCCATCACTCCGACAGGTGTGAGAATCTATGAAGAGGAAGCCATGACCGTGTCGGGCCGACATTTTGAATTGCCAATGGCAGAACAAAGAACGGCTCTTGCACATTGGTGCTTGACATCTAGCTCAGTTCCTTGTCATTCAGGCACAACAGTGAGAGTTGCGCTAGGATGGTGTGGTGCGAGATGCAAGCTCGGTGTCTCTCTACGCTGCATTGTCCTGTCGAGTCCCTGTGACATCTGCGCCGTCGCGTACATGCCTGCATGGCTGCCTGAAATTCATCTTTGCTCGCTTCGGGCCCTCCTCAGCGCGCTTGTTTGCTCTTCCAAGCACAGCAAGCTCTGCTGACTTTGTCCTAGGGAATGCCATCGTGCTGATCGCGGGTGATGGGTCATGACACGACGCTTCTCCGGCCACCTCATCAAATATATATCTCAGCTACCGCGCAGTCATGTGTCTTATCAGATGAGCAGCTATGCGTCGCTGTGCAGCTGACCACAACGCATGAAACCCACAGGGCTTTGACTTGCCTACTTAGGCGCATTTTATGTTCTGCGTGAAATGCTGAATGACGAAGGATGACTGGGCTCTTTCGTAGATTCCCAGGTGCTCTCATTTAATCAAGAAGAGTGCAAACTCAAACCCAAGACCAGGTTGCTCTTCAAACGGGACAGACTAGAGGGTGTCGGATGCATGACTCATTCTGCTTCTTGCCCGATGCCTTTTCAATCGCCTACACAGTTGCCCGGATAAGACCTCGATGATGTATACTTCTCGTAGACTGATGACTGCTTCCGGTGAGACATGTGCAGTATACCATGCTGTTCGATGGTCGTACTATGGTAGCCTCATCAGGGTGCGGGGCAGGGGACGCTCGCAATGTACGTGTACAGTGTCATTTCATCGGATTAACGGCTAACGCACAGTATCTGACTTAATATGGAACTTACATTTGTGACCGTGGTGCTGAGCATTCGCTTCATATTTGTATCATACTTGGTCGACTTCGAATTGACTTAATCCGATCTGTTTCATGATGTTGCGCAGTCGTACTTGAAGAGACCGGTGTAGACTTCATTGGTCATGTTTTTGTGAGGCCACTAGAGAGATACAAGTCACGCGTGCGACTTGGATGTCATAGCATCTATAGTTCAAAAAGGAACGTGTTGTTTATTTATTAGAAGAAAGATGTGCGGCTACAATATATATATAACAAGAAGTGTTGTAGTTCAAAGGAAGATTGATTGTCTTATTGTTTATTTGAGAGGGAAAAATAAGGCTATATATACAACGAGAAGATCAACTTGATTTCCAATCAACTTGACTCTTCGTGAACATACTTCGGGATTGATTCCGATGGTTCGGCTTGGTTCCTGATCTGCACCAGCCTCATATCACAACAAGAAGCTTAAGCCAACTGGTTTCTTGGTGTAGATACTTCCGAGTTAATGACATGATCTAGCTTTCTTTTTGGTACATAATGACCAGCCGTATGCCACGACTCTATTTTCTGTCACGAAGGACTTGACAACGGCTGTTGGCCTGAGAAAAATACAGTGATGTGGGTGGGGTCTTTTCCCGAGTCGGACGAAGTGTGGGCGAAGGGTGACACACCGCCTGAGCGACACCGTTTGTGCCTTGAGACATTCAAAAGATTCTGGTTTTCGATCGGCCATGCCTGTATTAATAAATAGTGTGATGACCATGTATCTAAATTTTGATACAATGTCCATGCTAGAGACGCAGCATAGACAATTATCAGGTTTAGACTTGTAGCCATTGGGCGCCCCTTGACCACTCAGTATTAGAGGCTCACTGAATGCGAAACCTAGCATCGGCTCAAGTCCGGCTCACGGTGTCAATGATCGATGTGTGTTGTCCAGGACAGGTCAAAGTAAGAGCCGTAGTACTGCAGTCAATGTGGCATGGCTACAGTACACTCAGTGGAAATATTTTGAGTGGGCGATGGCTTGGACCCTGAAAATCCGTCATCAACAAATGAGGCGCGTTGATGCAGACATCCTTGGAACACAGCATGATCGTCGGCCTCTGTTTTAAATCAACAGCCAATGCTGAAGTTCAGATGATGGTGATAAAAGTGCACGCTGTCGCAATCGAGCGATGATTGCTACTCATCGCTTTCAACCGTTGAAAGTACGGTCGCTGAGACAATTGCTTTCTACGATTGCACATATGTACATAAATCGATAGCTAAGCACGTCCTTACTAGTTATTACTTCGTGGTGACCAGCAAGATACAAAGGGCCAATGCTAATGCAGCCGTGCACCTGGGCAGAAGTTGCCTCTTATCCCAAAGATGAACAGCTGCTTGATTATCCTCGAAATATCCCTTTAGAGCTAGTTGTTCCCTCGCAAAGCATTTTCCAGTTGTCGCGTTTCAAGGACAGGCAGAGCTGAACGTTTGGATACACAGACCACTTTGTGGATGTGAAATATCTCACGAACTAAGAGCTTCGAGTGGAATTTGTAAAACCTGCTGGGGGAACAAAGTATTTAAATTTTGATTTTGATCCAATCGGTCATATCGTTACGAGCAAAGCGGGCATCTGTGCTTGTGTTCATGGTTCTGCCTTGGGGCCTCTGGCGACGTGAATTGACTCGCCCTTAGATTCAGACTCTGGAGGCAAATTTTGAATTTGATTCTATTCTTTGAGATTCGCAAATTCAAAAAATTCGAGAACTCGAATACCTGGCTGTATTTCGGCAGAAATTTCACACTATTCATACTCACTATTATCCTTCGTTATAGAAGCGACATTGCAATCTCACATAGCCAATGGCCGTGACACTTACACTTTGTACTCAGGCAGATGAATTGGCAACATGCTCAACTGTCTCCACCTCTGTTCCTTTTCCCTGCTGCATCTCTCTGAAGGTGATGGTAGGTGCCCATCCAACGCTGTTCTTGGCAACACTGACTTCCGCATATAGCTCGTCAACCTGCTCGAGAGTGAGGCCCTTTGTTTCGTAGATCATGAAGTAAACAAAAACAATACAAATAAAGCAGCAGCCGCCCCAGATGAAGAAGATCTTGGACTGAAGGTTGGCGTTTCCGGGACCGTAGTTGACCAGATATGGGGTGGAGTAAGAAAGAGCCCAATTGAGAAGCCAATTGGAGGCCGTGGTCATAGACAGCGATTTGGCACGGACTTTGAGGGGGAATATCTCGCCGGTGACAACCCTATGCGGTTGAGACATAAGCGTTAGGAATATTTTTTCAGCGAAGATAAAAGAGGAAGGTCATGAACTCACCAGGCAACGGGACCCCAAGATGCAGCAAAGAAGAAGATATAGAAGCAGATGAAGGCAATGGCAGCTTTTTGCGCCTCAAGATTGTGCACTATGATGTTGCCCTGTGCATCCTGGCCAGTGGTTGTGGTACCCAGAATGGCGACAAGGAACTGTGACACGCACATGCCCACAGCACCCCACAGGAGTACTGGCCGACGACCCCATTTCTCAATGGCGTACAGACCGGGGAATGTTGAACCAGTATTGACACAGTTTGTGATCAGGCTTATGACAAAGGAGTTCTGGAAGCCAGAGTTCTTGAAAAATTGGGTACCGTAGTAGAATATGAAGTTGATGCCAGTCAGCTGCTGTAATCCCTGTAGGAGGCATCCGGTGAGGAGACGCTTGAGCATGTTCCCCTTAAAACAGTCAAGATATGTCGCCCTACCGAGGCTCAACTCATACTCGTGGTTGGCGCGGATTTCAGCTAGCTCATCAAGGATAGCGGGATCATCCTGTGACAGGCGGCGGAGTCGAGAAAGTGAATTGGCCGCACCGGTATAATCCCCCTTCTTGACCATGAATCGAGGTGTTTCGGGAAGTATGAACATACCGGTTATCAAGATGAGAGCCCATGCAAATTGAATCGCAATGGGAATTCGATAGCAACCGGTGTTATTGAAATCCTTCGTTGCGTTATTAACGATCGAAGCCAGCAAGAGACCAATAGTGATTGACAATTGGTAAGAACCAACGATCGCACCACGAATCCACTGGGGCGCAGTCTCAGATTGGTACAATGGAACTGCACAGTATCAGCGCGACATTCGCGAAACATTTTACTCCTTCAAAAATGGGGGTGCTTACTGTTGGCAGATATCAATCCAACGCCAAATCCAGCGAAAAATCGACCAGCAACAAATAAGGGAATGGACGTCGCGGCGACTTGCAAGATAACCCCAAAGATGAAGACAACGCAAGAACTAATTAGACTGAGCCGTCGACCAATGCGGTCGGCGACCGGCGCAGCGCCAAGAGCGCCGAAGAAAGTACCAGCTGAAAGGATAGATACGATGGTGGACGTCTGAGAGGATGTGAGGTCCAAATGACCAGAGCTGTCTCGATAGCCGGTAGAGAACAGGTTTTCCCAATACGGCATAGCCTGGATACCGCTAATGGTTCCAGTATCATATCTATAAATGATGACTCGAGTTAGAATAACCTGCTCATAGATGTAATCATTTGAGATTTATTGTATTTGTGTAGCCGGAAGGTTAGCGACTGACCCGTAAAGAACTCCACCAAATGCGACAAAGCAGCCGATGAGGATAGCAGGCCAGGACTTTCCCGGTGTGCCCTCAGGGCTCTTAAGCATCAGACCCATTGTCTGTATGTTGATATATACTCAAAGAGGGTGCAAATAAGAATGAATCCTCACCAAGTGAGAAATACACAGTGACTGGTCCAAGGGAGTGCAGAGAATATGAAGAGATTGAATGGCCGGGGGAAATCGAGGATGAATTTATAGCATTAATAATGTGAGATTTCACAGGCTCTTATACCACCTTTTTCGCAAGAGTGGCGCCGATTAGAGAGGGGATGTGTCCACGGGCTGGACATAGCGTGCTGAGTAGACCTTCGCTAAAAACTTCCTAACAGACAACACCTTTTTCCACTTTTGTTCTTTCAGCCGTCGTTTTTTGTGACTTTGCAAATGATCTGTCCAACCGTTACCGCTGCATCACATGGCCAATCAACTTCCCCGACGCCAGTCTGTGCATGAGAGGAGTTGGAAATACTCGGGTACTCAAGACAATTGGTCTCTGGATGATAGAAGAACCTCAGCCCACATCGGGAAATGAGGTCAAAGCCATAGATTCCCCATGGGGTAAAATAGGGGAAATGTGCCACTTGGGCGTAAAGGGCTGAGATCGGCATAAATGAACATCTGGACTAACTTGCTACAACTTTCCCCGACGCCGAGTTTTAAATCGGGATCAGAGCGGTATCTTAATCTAAGTTTGGTAACACCAAATGCAGATCTAGAGCTATTGAAAAGCCTCGCCCTAAGGATACAAACGAGGCTTTTCCCGTACGGGTTCTTCGGTGAGCTTAGGCTCGGCTTCTTCCCCACCATAGTTACATGAATCATGCGCAATGTGTCTCAACTCCTAAATACCGTAATTACATGTGGTATGCAGTGGCCCGTGAAGTCTTTCGCTTCCGCCACTGAGGGATATTTCAAAAGCCCCGAATGTAACGTGGACTAAGCTTTGGCCATAGCGCTTCAAGCATTTTTGCCTAGTAAATATATCAAAGCTGTATCAAATATTGCTTTATGAAGATAACAGTACGCTACCTGAGATTTCAAAGCTTTTACTATTGTAATAAAATAGCTCAACAAGTAAATATTAAGCGCATTGGTCATTGATGAGTCGGATATCTAAGTAGCGCAATTGCTCAAGTTTAGATCTAGAAAGTCATTAAAACCGTAGTGATATGCCGAATCATCTATCTACCGTTTTCTTTTCATGCGTCGGATGCAGAGGTGATCCGAACTCCGAGCGTAACAAACACCCATGGCCTGAAATGCTTGTAGCGCAGTATCTTCGGAGTAAACTCGATGAATCTTTGGAACATGTGACGCTTTGACCTCGTTTGTTGACATCGGCTAAGTTTCTCGTATCATCTAGAGACCACCGGTTTTGAGAGCCAGGAGAATTCATATTCCTTTCATGCACAACTTACTGGCGTCGGCAAAGTTTGGGTGGCCATGTGAAAGTTTCTTAGCGCAATATTGTCGGAGGAAAATCGGAGAATACTTGGAGGGTTCTTTGGGGAAACCCGAGTTGACATTGCCGTCTCCACCCCGCATTACAGTAGTGTGCCGTATGGAGAGGGAGACATCTTGTCACCCCGGATTAAAAATCCACCAAGAAGTAAAGCCTTCTCTATTTTCTGCTAGTCCTCGGGGGTTATAGTTTTATTCCATGGAATTCTATTGCCGAGTAACATAAAAGCTCAACGAAGCCCATCACATTTTGGAAATACTGTGTCTGTTTAAAAAGGAGCACTGAGACTGAAGTTTCACGGTGCCTGGTCGCTTCTTTGTTACCCTTTTTTGTATGCGTCTCTTAATATTCGTTCAAATTAAGGATGTGGACCTTCTCATCTCAAAGACACCTTCTCCGCACAGTGTTTTCACTAGCAACAGTGTATAATGTTGCCTTTGGAACGCCGATTGACCAACATCTCAACTGTGAAAGCCACCAATATCCTGGTCCCATCAACCCAAATTTTGAAACAGGAAACCTCAATGGCTGGACAGTAGTCAGCGGAGATGCATTCGGCAACGCTTCAGTTACCAATTTAGTCTCATACTGGGGCGGGCCTTTCAATCAAGTCGGCCATTATTTTCTGTGGGGAATTGAACAATCTGATGATGCGGCTATTGGACAAATTAAGTCAAGCTCCTTCAAAGCAAGCTCGTATATGAGCTTTCTGGTCGGTGGAGGCTACGATCCTGTCAATCTCTATGTTGGCCTAGTGCGAGACAGTGATGGCAGGATGCTGCTCAACCAAACTGCCACAAATGATGAAGCTCTTATCCGTATCATCTGGGACACCAACGCCTGGGCCGGTGAGACGGTTCACATCCTTGTCTATGACAATAGTACTGCTACTTCTTGGGGTCACATCAACCTTGACGATGTTCGAACAGGCTGCTCTGCTCTTGGAGATGATGGTCTACATTTCAATGTGCTTGGCCTGGCCAACCAGCCAGCGGTTGGGAGCATGCCGACTTGCGAGATTTACGCGGCTGATCCACTGCGACAACAATTTCACTACACGCCCTATCAAGGGTGGATCAATGATCCTGCCGGCCTCATTCAATGGAATGGACGCCACCATCTGTTTAGCCAGTTCAACCCTGCTGAGCCTCTGTGGGGGCCGATGCACTGGTCTCACGCTGATAGTGCAGATGCTGTGCACTGGACTCCCCTACCAGTTGCTCTCTACCCGCCCTATCCAAACAACCCAGCGGATACAAGCGGCCGCTATACGGGTAGTGCCGTGCTCGATAAGGATAACAAGGGTGCCCTTCGTCTCATTTTCACGGACGCCACCGACATAGCTTTCCACCCTGACGCGGTGCCCGAGGTCGTTTCGACGGCTGCTAGTTTAGATGGCATCCAGTTTCCCCTTGACCCTCACAATCCAGTCATTTCGAGCGCGCCTGCGGATAGCCCCAGTGGATTCCGTGATCCCAAAGTCTTCTGGGATGCTATGGACGACAGTTGGAAATTAGTTGTCGGATCCGGTGACAATGTAACTGGAAAGGTTCAGCTTTACAATACCACGGACTTTCTTTCATGGAACTATATGGGGGTTCTTACCGAGGGAGACGGTACCACTGGAACGATGTGGGAATGTCCTAACTTCTTCCCCATTGGTGACAAATGGGTTTTGTTCTACGGAGGTGATAATCTAGGCTGGTACGAAGTTGGCACCTATAATGGTACTAAGTTTGTCAGCGAAAAGCTCGGCCTTGTCGACTCCGGCCCGGATAGCTATGCCATGCAGTGGTACAAAGATGACGCTGGTCGCAATCTCGCTATCACATGGATGGGTAACTGGGTTACCTCCAAATGGCCCAGCCGCGTTAACGGCTGGGCTGGCCAGCAGTCTATCACTCGGGAACTTTTTATTCGCGCGGATGGTGGTCTTGGTAGCAGGGCTATCCAGGAAGTGGAGACCCTGGCGAGCGGCTCGACTATCACAATGAACCACAAGAGGATCAGTAGCGCGGTCACGTTGGGAAGCATGAAGACCGCCCGACTTCAAATGACAGTCGATTTGGCTTCGACCAAGGCCTCTGCCTTTAGCATAAAGATGTTCTCATCCAAAGCGGAATCCGCGCTGGTCACATACGATATCGCCAACAAGACATTAGTTCTCGACACGACTGACGCAGGCTATGGTCAGGCAGGAACTTGGGATGCCATGATTGACGTCTCAGATGACAAGCAGCTGAGCCTTGACATTTTCATTGATCGTTCCAGCCTGGAAATATTTGCGGACGATGGGACTGTCTTCACGGCTACTATCTGGCCACGGTATCAAGAGTCCACGGACATTATTGTTGCGGGCCATGGAGGCGTTGTGACTTTTGAAGAGATCAAACTCACGCCTATGGGTTCCAGCTGGTGCTAAATAAAAAATGTATCCCACGATATCTAACGTTATACGTGGAGCCAGGTTGATTGAAATCCACTCTGAACCATGAACAAATATTAAAAATCAATCTTTCGTGTCCACTAAGACAATAGGGTCTGTTCGAGAAACAGAGTGCTATTGGCAACCCTCGCCTAATAAGTCCATCATGTCGAGCCCCCGATTGTATCTCACAGTATGCAGTTGTACACCTTTAATGTACCAAGCCCCAGAGTCAGGTGTACTGACTGTCCGTGCGCAGGCCCAGGGACTCCTCACTTAGTTATCTGTCGGAACAATGGATCATGTAATCAACTTTATTAGTCAGCGTACCACATGTTAAACTGCTGTGGTGGAGACTAGAGAAGACCAGACAAGTACACATACGTGACCCATACCATTGGTACATGCTTTTCGACCGTAATTACGTGTTCAGAGAATATCTCGTTGTCACCTGATGTTGGTGTGGTTGTGCGATCGCTTCCCGGGCCAGACCGCACAACCACGGCGGATTCAATGTGACGAGAATTAGCATCGGACACCACGAGAAGGTATGAATATATTGTCCCAATAGCCTGGCTAGGACTGCTGCCCAATGCGAGCTTACTGGGAGCATCTTCAGTAGTTTGTGACAATTCACACTCTCAAGTACTCAATTGGCCATGCCCGTACTAGACTGTACTGTAACGACTACGTGCCGACAGTTGATCCTACTTGATTCCGTCTTAAAAGCACTTCTGCCAAGTAGGTTTTCTCTTAATTCGCTCAACCCCACCTGCAGAATAAAAAAAAAACATGGGTCCAGAGCATTGACAATATGTGTTGTCACGACTTGAGTTTATGAGCTTAACCGGAAAATTTACGAGGCAGTTTCATTGATGGACCGCTGGGCTGGAGACGGCCCGAGTAGTGTGAGCTGCCGTTACGGAAATAGGGGTGGATGCATGCCTGCTTCGCCGAAATCCGGCGGGCGGGGTCGTACTCGAGTAGGGCTTCCAGCAGCTTGAGACCAGCTGGCTCCATGCCGGAGACAATCGACGTATCGGGGCGCTTCCACTTAGGAAAAGTGGCCTTGTAATCTGGGAATGAAGTCACACCGGGCCAGAGCTCTTCGTCGGGGGTGCCGAGGACACTAGAACGGAAAAAAATGATTAGTGACTGATCAACCACCGAGTGAAAAAGACAAACCGGAATATTTTGAAGATCTCGTCGATCTCCGAGTCACCGGGGAATAATGGCTTGCGGGTGTACATCTCAGCGAAGATAGTGCCGACAGACCACATGTCGACACCAGTAGAATACTGGCGGCCCCCAAGCAGAATTTCGGGGCAGCGGTACCACAGTGTAACGACCTGATATAGAACAAGTTGGTTTGCGAATTAGGAATTTCCAACGGCACCAGTGCTTACCTCATGGGTGTAAGTGCGTAGCGGGACACCGAAGGCTCTTGCTAGACCAAAATCGGCGAGTTTGAGGTTACCATCACGGTCAATGAGCAAGTTCTGGGGCTTCAGGTCACGGTGCAAAATGCGGAGACCATGGCAATAGCGGAGACCTTCAACCAGCTGGGCCATAAACTTCTTAATCATGGCATCGCCCAGTCCCAAGGTTGCCATCGACGTAGACTCATCGGGAAGAGGCCTACCACGGCCACCGTCGCTGACTGGTAGAGATTCCATATATTTCTTCAGATCAAGATCAAGGAACTCCATGACGAGGTAGAGACTGTAGTCATCCGCTTGGACTATATTGAGCAGTTGGACAATGTTGGGGTCCTGCATTTCCTTGAGCAGCGAGATCTCGCGGATAGTGGTGCTAGGAACGCCCTCATCTTCAGCATCCAGTCTGATCTTTTTCATTGCGACGACACGGCATGGATGGTTCAACTCGCGGGCTTTGTAGACGACACCGTACGTGCCTAGAGACAAAAAGACGCGTGAGCTGAGTTCCGACAGGAGCGTATGAATAATTTCAAAAACCGCGTCGAAAGCCCGTACCTTCGCCAACTTTCTCGATTTTCTGGTAGTTCTCCATGGATTCTCCACAATTGACACTCACCTGCACTCGATCGTATCAAGAAAACGAGAGCCGAAAATATTGGGGTGGCGCTGGTGGAGGAACGAGGGAGAAGCAAGGAGGGGATGAGAGACCGGAAACTAAAGAAACGTCACATGTAATCAAGTTGCAAGCATTGGTCTCCCAAGGCCGCCCAGTAGGTCAAGTAAGGTCCCGACACCAAAAGGGGGTCTCTTTGAATCCATGTTTCCAGCCGAACGCAAGACCGCCCCGCGAAGAAGAGGAAATACTTACCTCCCTACCGCCTTCGCGGGACAAACTTTCAAGTGTATTGCTGCCACCAAGAATTTCTTTCTCTGAGAATCTGTTATTGAGAAATCAGAATACAGTAATATAAGGCCTTCCAGAGCAAAGGATTGAAGAATATTTTTGAAAAATAAAATAAAAATAAAATAAAAATAAAATAAAAATAAAATAAAAATAAAATAAAAATAAAATAAAAATAAAATAAAAATAAAATAAAAATAAAATAAAAATAAAATAAAAATAAAATAAAAATGGATAAAATAAAGATTGGCGGAGAGAGGACCGTCGACTTTGCGACCAGATGAATCTGATCGATACAACAACGGAGTCAAACAAAAGGCTCAGCAGGGTCAAGGTTGCAGAAACCCGGTGAATGTGGACAAGTGTTCAAGGAGACTACCATGAACTGGAAACCAGTCACCAACAGTGACCTACTGTATGTAAAGGAATGAGCCCTTTACTCAGACTCTGGACCACCGTTATGGGAAGCTTCAGCGAGAGAATGAAAATATCATTGATAAATATCTTTGCGAGCAGATGCAAATTTTCATGGGCTTTTTTTGCGGAAATGACTGTCCGTTCTTCTGGCTAATGTGATAGAGGTGTATCGGAAAAAGGCAAGGTTTGGACGGTCCGGCCCGGAAAGTCTGAAATGGAGGAGCAATGACTCTGGGGTTGGCGGTAGGGACGGTGAAAGTGACGGGTTTGCACGGCCTTTCGTGTAGTAAGTGATGAATATGCGGCGGCGACGATACGCACCCAAATCTTCAGTGCTTCGTCAAAGCCAAAATGCCACCAACGTATTATTGGCATGGTCACTTGTTGTGAATGTACTTGTCTCCTCATGGTGCTTTCAACACGAGCGTCCGCTTGATTCCCTAGGATCGAGCTCTTTTTTAAAGGGGAACAGTAGTGTATGAAATCTTTCGCGTCTTTCACATGGTAGACAGATGACTCAAAAGTATGACAGATCTGATAAGGATGCGCATATTCTGTTTCATCTTGATAAACAATCCGGAAGCCCCACAGCACCTCGAGCTAGGGCTCCGAAAGGAATAGATGAATGCGAATATACAGCATATTCATATTCGCTATGAATTTTTTATTCGCGCGAATAAACGTGTTGAAATCAAAGTGACTGGATTAAGTTCTGTTCAGTTGTGCTAGTCGGAGGTGGAACTCCTCATCTATTTATGTCTCGCGATGATTCCACCACAAGCTTTGACCACCGTGATACTCAACAGGAATATCTCGAAATGTTGTGAATATTTATTCGTGCCGACCCCTATTGTTAAGTGCCCAGGAGTAGATCGCAAGATCCCAGGAACATTCTGGCTGCAGCCACGTTTTCAGTAGCATCATGCCAAGTCTCCAGGATAACTCTACTTTCGTTTCCAAACGCTAAGCGAAAGCTTCAACATGAAGTCAAGGCCCATTCCCTAGTGTTCATCGATCAACATATTTCCTATTCTACTTGCCACCGCTTTTGAACTGGAAGGCGTCTCTATGCCCTGACTAACAATAACAATCACTCACTGATAAAACACTAAATACACCTCAGTTCGTTGCATCCATTGACTCAAAATTTCAAAAGGGAGGCTCAAATCAAGATGATATTCAGCTTCAAAGACTGCGGAGAGAGTAACGGGTTGGATAGGTCGGTCATGAAAGAATCAGAGCTTTCACGCGGCTATTGCGTACGAAACCACGAGGGAAGTTAAGTCATCACACATTGTGCGCAAGGAAACAAATTTCTTATTTGGTGAATTGCATGATCATTGTTTGAGGAATAAGCCAGATTAAGCCAAATCTTAGCGACGTGCCGTGGTTCAAAGACATGGACAACATATCCTTTTCGTGACTCTTGCAACCTGAGCGTACACAGGGACTAGTTGCTAGTCTCCCCTCTTTGCCGGGCGTTCTACTTCAAGTTTTGAAAAGGTATTTTGGGGCACACGGCTGTCACCAAGCTACAGGACATGCTGGTTGGCCACTGATGTACCAATAGATTCGAATCACGAGTTTCGGAGTGGACCGCCTCACTTTTAGCCTGATCTAGACAAGCATCCAACAAACGCGACAGTCGGATTGCCCAGATTTTTGGTCGATCGGAGTGGCGTCTGCACTCCACACAAAAGAAATGTTTTACAACAGGGAGAATCTCTGCAATGCAGAATTTGCGAAGGGAGGATGGTAGAGCAGCTGAAAATACAATATCCCATTTCTTCGGGACTCAATCGGCACGGTATTTTGGCAGTGATTTTAATCGTCTGCTACCCACATGCACCTCTCACGGTGTAAGGGATCGCCCAATACTTGGCCCAATACCCGTTCAAGATGTGTAGGATTCCAGGCCATGATGACAAAGATAAATGGTAATCGGATTCGAGTTGATTGCGAAATTGCGATGCAATTTGCTGGGGAAGAATTAGAGGTAATATGTAGGGTCCAGTGGAAACAGTGCAATATATAGATCCTTCAAAAAGCACGCATGGGGGCTTCTCTTCTTGCTCGTTCTTTTTTAGATAACCGGCAACGGACTTTGACTAAGCTGGCTCCTAGGACTGCATATCTCTTTCTTGGGGAAAGGATACCAATTCCTGGGAGCTCTAGTTTCCGGGACCCACTTCGTAGAACCTGCGCACTTCCCTCGCTGTCTGGCTGTCCAGCTCTGACTGCTCGCTCGGTGTTGAACTGAAGGCTGTTATCCTGCTGTGGCTGTCTGTTGCTGTCACCGTCGAGGCCTCCGTCGATATTGTCACTGGTCTTCTTGTTGACATTACCTCCTTCCTGACTGAGGAAGTCATTTCTCTTCTCAGCGTCAACCTCCGTGGTGCCCTCGGCCTCCTTGCCGCCGGCGAGAGTATAACCCTGCTCTCCTGGGATACTCGTGCTGAGCTTGCTGCTTTCCTCGGTGGCTGCACTAGCATCGACATCAGCGTTGTCGTTGAGATTGTTATTATTGAGTGGTTCACCGGCTGCACAATCCCCAGCTCCGGCTCTGGCTTTGGCTCCTCCCCATCTGGTTCAGCCTCCGTCCCCAACCTGCCTTCTTCCACTGTCTCCATCCTCCCAAGCGTCTCCGCCGGGGCTGGCTCTATTCCCTCCGGCCCTGCTCCCACTGGACCTGCCTCCACTGTCCCCGCTGGTTCGGGCTCCATTCCTTCTGGATCCTTTTCTTCTGGCTCGGCTCCCTCTACCCCTGCTGGCTCCGGCTCAGTTACTTCCGGCTATGGTGCTATCATTACAAGCTCTGGCTATATCCCTTCCGGCTCGGGTGCTATCCCCATCGGCCCCGCCGCTACTGAGACTGCTGTGAGCACTCCCTGTGCTGGTGATGCTGGCGCTACCGAGACCGTCAGCTACAGCACTGCCTACACTGAGACCATCGTCAGTGGTGGTGGTACCTCTAGTTACACTGAGACTATGTACTCTACCTACACCGGGACCGCCCCTGCCCCCACCGCTGCTCCCACCGGTGTTTCCCCCGAGGCCACCACCATCTATGTCACCAAGACTGTCTGCGGATGCGAGTAAAGCATCAACCACACCTTCCTAAGCGATAACCGTCGTGTCTTTAGCATTTTCATTTTCCTCATGACACTACCTCAAACCCCCTGAAGTGGCGTGGCCTGCAGATCTGTTCAAACTCTGTGCGGCCAAGGTCAATACCCTCTCCTCACCTAATCGATGGCTCATTTCCTTGCCTCTGTCTTGCCTGTAGATATCTAATTCTAGTTTAATCTGCCTTAGGAGATTTGGCTAACCTGTCAGATAAGACTCTTGGCGGATTGCGGCTTCTTTTTCGCCGAGCGAACATCACTTGTTTTTTTTTACAAAGACCTAAGATTCCCTATCTCATTTCCAACAATGGAGTACATTCCTTATATTCTTGTGTATCTTTCCCTCGTTTTTGGTTCTTCTGGCTTTTATCGACTTTTAACGCAACAAGAGGGTTTTCCATGCAGACAACAGGAATGAAAGATGCCTCTCCTTTGAGAAAGAGCCTTTTACTTTTCGTTGGACATAGGAAATTCTTGTCTTAGTCGTTCAAAGATCTTGACTATGTTGCAAACAATGGCATAACGATGAATTTTTGATAGCAATACAGTCACTTCTACTATCATCAAAACTTTCTTCATCAAGATAACGTTGCTGGGGTATAAATACTTGATGTTTCCTAGAAATATACATTGTCGGACAACACGCCCTTACTTATTTCTCCAAGCAACCAGCAACCAACAAACGAGGAAAAGATGACTCAAATATGGCAAGAAATTGTCTCGTCAAAGCGAGGGCGTTTGAACGGTGGCATTGGATGAACATCTGCGGTCAACCGGAAAGCCGAAAGGGCCTCTGCATGGATTGCCAATTTCCGTCAAAGACAATCTGCATATCAAAGGTATAGACTCTGCTCAGGGTTTGACTTCCTGGGTTGATAAACCCGTTGAATTTAACAGCCCTATAATTCATCTTTTGCGGGACGCTGGAGCCATGGTTTATGTGAAGACTAGCGTTCCGCCTAGAATGAAACGTGCAGAGACATACAGCATCATGCTTGGTGAAACCCTCAACCCCAAGAATCACTTTGGTCTCCCCAATGGGAACTAACACCGGACAGCACGAGAAGGTATGAATCCATTGTCCCAATAAACTGGCGACGGCTGCTGCCCAGTGTGAGCTCACTGGGGGCGTTCATTACAGTAATATTCGAAGCCGGATTTACCTCTACACTCTTAGACTGAGCGACAGATCGCTTAACCATCCAGCTCGAACCGTCCAGCTCAATCCGGATTTTCTGGTGGAGTGGATTCGACGGCTTGACTCGTCCGACTTATCGCCTCTCCACGGACTTTCATCGCACTGGTCCGCAAGCATAGACTGGCTCTGAATTGTTTGAGCGTGAAGGCCTGATCGGGACAATCCGGTGTGGGAACTTCGACAGGTTCGCGCGCTAGATTGACCGCCTGTCAAGATTTGCCAACCTTGTTCTATCATACTTTTTACTGCTTCCTCGGTGGTGGTAATGAATTTAAATTGCATCCCCTGTGCAACTCTTTCTTCATGGATGTCTCTCAAAGCGCACATAAACATGATTGTATTTGAACAGACCAGCGTAATTTCAAGAAATACAGCCAATTTTGAGGGAGGCTGCAGCGCTCTCTTCCAATCAGAAGACGGCTTAGAAGCCGAAAGTGGGTCATCTTGCTGGTTTCTTTGTTTGCTTTGGATTTGTTGTAGTTCAGAGGTGTGAATTGTCTTGTTTTTTATTTGAGAGGGAAGAATAAGGCAATATATACAACGAGAAGATCAAGTTGATTGGAAATCAACTTGGTTCTTCGTATACATACTTCGGGATTAATTCCGGTGGTTCGGCTTGGTTCCTGATCTGCACCAGCCTTATATCACAACAGGATTATTTACTGCGTAGCAAACAAAGAACTGCGGACATGGGTGGAAATGCAAGAATAAAGTCTGGAAATTGCCACTGAGATTCTGAAATCCTCAATTATCTTGCTCAGCTTTCCCTCCGTTGTTGAAAACCTTTTTCCTCAGAACCTCGCAAAGCCGCATTTTTGACCTACCATCTCAATGCCGAAGAACAGATCTCTGCGCAAGCTCCTGCTTGCGAGTAAAGGATCCATTATTCAACCTCCTAAGTCAGCCTCGTCAATCAAACAACGAAGCAATGTTTCGCTCGCTTGCACTGAATGTCAGAAAAAAAAGTCGAAGGTCAGCAGGCTTCTGACGATATTTTGCAAGGATACTGATACACCTTATGCAGTGCTCCGGTACGATACCCTGCACAAGATGCATTACCGAAAAGTGCGACTGTATCTACAACCCACTAGGCGATCGTAGATCCAAGGCTTATATTGCTGAGCTTTTGGGTTTTCATGCCGCTCTCTGCCGCATAGTTACTACGCTTCGCTCGGGGAACTCTGATGAGATATCTTGGTTGATGTGGGAGATGCAGATTCAGCAGACAGATCAAGAGGCAATTCGCTACCTCACTGAAGGATATCAGATGAATCCCGTTCTGTAAAGTTCAAGTAGATAACCTGTTCGAAGATGAGCCAATACACAAGCTGCTTCACCCATTCCTTTGATTGAAATAATAGCATAATCGATACGTCAAAACATACGCTCTTTGGATTTCCGCTCCTATTCATTATAAGTGACCCATTTGTACGGAATTAGGTCCACTACAAAGCGTATAGATATTCTCTAGAAGAAAAGTTCGTATGTTGTTTATGAAAAATTTGATTGTTGGGACATTACACTCGTTTAGATTTACTAGACATAGCTTAAGCTTCTTCTCAATATGGAAAGTAAGTTGAAATTAAGAAATCACGTTGGGTATTTTGTCATACGCCATAATATGAAAGGTAGGCTCGCAGTAAGCAGACGACGGCTTCATGCCCCTTCCTAGCGGCCCACGATCAGGTGTCGGTTCAAAGTTGTTCCTTTGACTCAATATTGCTACTCTTCTAGAGCAGCAGTTTAAAGAGATTTAACCGTACTAAAACTGTGACATTATTGATAGGTTGTATTTTAAATCCCCTAGCTTTCTCTTTGTGCGACAAAAGGCATTCATCGCGCTTATAAAGAGTATAGCGTATTGTCCTCCAATGTTTGTTGAATATGTATATATATATCCAGGCCATCACTTTGTAATAAACCCGAAGATCTTCTATGTAAATTTAGATAATTGTTGATTAGATCCAATTTCCATATAAACATAATACAATACAGGGTTATTATCGATTTTACTATGTGCTTTGACATAAGACACCACCCAAAATATGGCGGCGCACGAAAATTGTTATTTTATGGAAACCGGGCAAGCCAGACTACGCGATGCCCGGTCCTTATCATCCTACCTCACTTTTGAACACGCTCAGGAAGCTCCTCGAGTCCGTAATGACCTGACGGTTATCCTACCTTGCAGAGAAGCACAGCCTGCTACCGAACAGACAGGTCGGTTGACGCCCGGGCAGAACCACCGAGCAAGCATTGCAGGTGCTGTCCAATGCGATCGAGCAAGCATGTGTACAAACACAAGGTGGTGACGTAAATCGCATTTGACCTGAACGACGCCTTCAAAGAGCTAACTAGGGTGAGCCGGGACGCCTCTTTACAGGCGAGGGGAATGCCGATGGTGGCAAGAAAATGGATTACCGCCAAGCACCGCATCAGGGGGTAATCTAACCGTAATAGGTATAGAGTTATGCAAGACAAAGTTTAAGAAAGAAAAGAAGCGAAAAAAGAAGTGAAGCTGATTTCGAGCGGCAGCTCATCATATATTTCAATTATTGAAGATATAGCACCCATGGCTTCCATTCTTTCGCAATTACTTTTTTCTGATGATACGCTTGGGCAGTGTTTCCTTATGCGGGGATTGAGGCTCTATTAGCTGGTACTCGATCAATGCTCGTGGGATATTCTAAGAGCCAATCAGATGATACCACGACTTTCTCGTATGCTTAGTTCGATAGCTTGCACTGCATCATGTCTGTGCTCAGCCAATGCAGCCGTTGCACATGTATAACCAATCAGAGTCTTTAAAGTAGCCGCCCTACCCGTGCCGGCCTTAGCATTTTCAAGAGACCTGGACCCCAGGTTTCAGCATTTTGATTTAACAAGTTAAGCAAATTAAGGTCGATCTAACCCTTCACCTTTAGCCAGATAGACCGCGTTACGTATATTACGGGCAGATTTAATCAATCAACAATGGCTCACCGCAGATCACAGCCTGCGAAATAAAATCGACAGTTGTCAGCTCCCACACGATTTTCGCTCGCAGTCTTTTTTTATTCTTTCTTTATCGAAAAGCGCCGGCATTAGGTGGTGGCGGGGGCTGGCAGGAGTGTGTTTCAAAAAGGAATGGTTTGTTTGGTGAACCATGGTTCGCACAATTGCCCCCTGCTAGTCGCCAGACTAGAGCTCAAATTCATTGGATTAATGCAGTCGCCTCCAAAATGGCTATTCCGATGCTTTCTTGGCATAACTGCTGGCGCTGCAGTTGTAAAATGAAAATTCAGTGGCGGGTTACGTATGAACGCTATTCACTGTATTCACAAACTCTTGCACATGATGTCTAGTGTCTCATAAGTCTAGCCACATAGGGTAGCGCAATTTCAGTGCGGATCACCAATGGAGCCCATAAAAGACAGTCCTAGTTTAGACATAAATAGTCCAAGCTCGAAACTTTGCTTATATGCGTAGCCGAACTCCTCAATAGCCATCTTTTTTTTGCCCCATTCTTAAAGAAAGCCATAAGCGACCCAAACACACAGCAATTTAACTTATTCCTAGAATGATAGAAGAACCTTCGTATCGCGATCATAGAAATGGGACCTTACTCAAGAATGACAAAGTCAGGTTGAGAAAATTCCGGAAGAATGTACTAATTCCAAACCCGAGCTAAAGCGGTCAATGATGTTGAAAGGCTCAATTTGTCGTCGCGGAGATGGCTGGAAAATTTGGGCAGCAGATTATTACTCTTCCAAAAAGAGCATGAATCACGTCTTCATGAGATCAACTCTTAAGTCCAACAAACTGAGGATAGGCCGCCCCTTTATAGCACAAAGTTTAAGGAATCAGGCTATAAATTGTATGTATTGGAGAATAAGTTTGCATCGCTAAGCAACCAGCTTTCAGTAAGACCAGAAAACCACAAAAGGCCTTGGGCGATCCTTGGTCTAGTGGAGTTAGATAATCTGTTATAAGTCTGTAGCGCCGTGTCTAAGATCATTTCACTCGCCATTCTGGAATGCCGGTCAGACATGGTCAAAAATATTGAATGAATCCGGAAATCTTGGCCTCAGGGTATAACAGGTATGTGAGCCTTTTTGACTAGTAAAAAGTTGTCATGTTCACATTATACCAGCACAAAAATTTCCAGCGGCTCGTCAGTTCGGGATTCATAGATTATGACAAATCAATACCTATTCCAAGCAGGTCAAGAACGACGTATCTTCGTATTGTAAACATACAAGCATAAGTTGCGAACAGATCTCTACCAGTGTCTTCCAGGCGACTCCAGGTTACACAAGTAAACTCAATCACATTCCCCCCTGTCCTGGTTGGAATAGACTGAGGAGAGATGAAACCCTACGAGAGGTTGTTTAAGGTTGATTTCAGCGAGTGAATCAATTTATTTAGATCGTTCGGGTTTAGGCCAGTTCCCCACTACTTAATATTACCAAGGTTTATTCTCTTCGCGACGGCTACTGGTAGAACTCAACACATCTTCCGTGACCACCTTGCCCAAGTATCGATAGGCACGATGCGAATGAGCACCTTCGAATCTCGCAAATTCTGCATGTTAGCAGGTTTTGCAGTTTCTTCTAAACTAGACCAGCTGGGATCCCATCCGCGTCATGTCTGATACTAGTTGCGAATGGCTCGGGGATTCGTTGCCTTGTTTGCTGAACACAGAGTCGCCTCGACGAGGCGCTGTTGTTGCAAAGTATCCCTGAAAAGGTGATTCTGACTGGGCACAAGGCATATTTCATGACTCATGTCGTCGATGAACCCCGGTATTGTATGTCTGCGCGGGAGTGGGTTCCCTTTCGCAGCAGAACACGTTGCTCGGAACCCTGTGTCGTGCATATGCAAGACAACTCAGCGCGCCTTGAGGAGGTCAAGGCCCCCAGAACCTTGAGGCTTATTTCAATTGGTGAATAGACCGTTGTCTTCCAACATGGAAATTGACATTGCAAGTATCGACATACGTGGTTCTCAGACTGGGAGAATTAATAAATAAAAGCTATTTTCGTCATTGAAATAATTTTTGATTTCCCATTTATTCACCATTTTGTGGCATTATTTGTTCCTTGATTATGTCTTCAACGACAACCCAAACAAAAATGCTCGTCCCCACAAAGGCGGAGCATGATGATTTCTTGATCAACAAAATCATTGATCACTTCACCCATCTTACTTCCGATCCTGATTTCCAAAACGCGTCTGCAACCTATAGTCAGGTCAAAGAGCAACAGGAGCAAATCCGGGTTCGAGATGAGAAGCTGGCCGAACTGCAACAAATTATCGAAGCTGAGGCAAAGAAAAGATTGGTTGCGCTCAGCCAACTATCTGCAGTGAATCAAACCCTGACAACGCAAAGGGATAATGCGGAGAGACAAATACTTCTCTTCTAAAAGAGGCTACAGAAAGAGAGAAGTCTATAACTGAGATCTCTCGAAGGATGCAAAACCTTCAGATCCAGATACAAACGCAATTATCAGAAGGATCCGAGGAAGAAAGAAAGATGAAGTCAACAGTTGAACAACACAATCGTGACGTTGACACCCTCCAGACAAAGCTTAAAGAAAGAGATGGATCAATCGACAATATGAGGGCTACTAATGCAAAACTTGAGAGCCTCCTTGCCGTCGAAAAGACGAAAGGCGATAACCTCCAACAAGAGAAGAGCTCACTTGATCAAAAGATGCAAAAAACTTGCAGTCGACTTGAAAAATTCGATGCCTTCATTCTTAAACCTCGCGAAATTGATGAACAGTCAATGTAGGTGGTAATTTCCCCTGGATGTTACATTGCAGACTATTGATTCCAGTTGTTAGTATTGATGGTTTTTCGAGCCTATGGGACTATGCTACGAATGAAATTTGGAGCATCTTACAGCAGAATCTAAGCGACAAGAATCTCGGAGTATGTTTGCTCCACATATTTTTCCATGTTTTCATTGAAATTTAGACTAACTTCTCTGGCAGAATGATGGAAGCTGGAAGAAGTTCAGACTAAGCGCCGAGGATGCTATCCGAGACAGAGCTTTCCAAGGACAGTCTATTCCCCTATGTGCTTCGAATTCCGATGCCGCTAAGGGAATGCCTCTGGCTGTGACTTTAGGTATTCTATCCAGGGAGATCGATAAGCAGATTTTTCAGCCGAGTTACTTTCCCTCCGAGACTGGTCATTTCAGGATCAGCTTGAATAGGCTCGTGAAAAACGACTGCGAGAAAGAAAGTTTTTATCGTTCTGTCATGCTTTCTATTGATCGCGAGGGACAGGAAGCTGAACTTCAGTCTAGGGCCAGGTCTGTTGTTCAAAACGTGTCCCACTTTCTCTATGAGCTCCTTTCAACTGCCCAGTATGGCGAGCTTAAAGAGAAAATAAAGAATGTTGTTGATAGGGCAATCGAGATCTGGCGTCCTATCCAGCATGCTACGAAAAGATATGAGACAGAATTTGATCCTGTCGATTGGGCCCACGATGAGGATTCCCCATTTCAGTTTCCCGTGGGTTGTCAGGATCAAATCGGCGCTGAACAATCGCATGAGCACCTTCTTGTGATTTTCCCCGGATTATCTTCCTTGGAAGGTGATACCTTTATCTTGACTTCTGTCGTTCCACTCATGAGCTGGCAATGTGTTGATGCCAAACACGAACTGAGGAAAGAAGTTCAAAGGCAAGCTATTCCTACGACTAAACAATCCAGTCGTAAAAGGCAGAACTCTGTTGCGAAAGGTCAACCAAAGTCAAATGGGAATGGTTTTTTAGGGGGGCATTCCTCAGGAGGCTCAGACAATTAAGGAAAAACGAGCCACCCATTCGAGCCACGCTGAGGTTTCAACCATCTCCAGGGACATATTATGGGTGACGAAAGTATTGAGCTATCGAACTTGCTGAGAACTTGTGTTTCCTTTCTTCATTGCCTTACTTGTTGACTAACGTTTTGCTTGTGCTTTGCATCACATTCTCATTCAGTTTCTATTTGTCAAGAACAGATTTCCAATGTACTATTGGGAACCTAATTCAATGTTTGCTACCGTTGATAGTCTACAATTGAAAGGAAATTTGGAAGCCCACTTACATAGCAAACAGCCATTCTTGGGATGTGGGTGATGAGACTAGTGACGAGCAGCGTTGTGCGAGTCTGGTTTTTGGCTATTGTTGCGTGTACATATGAATATGATAATGTATGGTGAATGTCGATGGTGATTGTGTTGACGTGACGACAACTGCCTATGTTGATCACCAAGCGGTGAAAGCGTTCTGTCTGGCGGCGAAAATGCCACTTCACCCCCTCACTTGATGGAAATGACTGATCTTTGACACCTTGTTTGGGTCCTTGCACATACTATGGCGCGATTAGACAAAGGTCTACAGTGAACGAACAGTTGAGTAAATAAGGCATTTCCGCTCGTTCGGCTGTTGCCAAAGATTGTTTGATCAATACTAGGGAGTTATCTAGCTAGGAGAATGGCTAATAGACAGTGCTCTCGACTAAAGAAACGATTTGATGGTCGAATATTCAGGAACTGAGACGGTTCAGTCTTAAATGCAGACAGGTAGAACCTCGGGGCGGTGATGGTGAATTGCTTGATAAAATCGGACGCACTACAGGAGGTGAACGTACACTAGCAGAACAAATCCCTAGTTTGACAAGCCTTTGGATTCTGATTCTCGGTCACTCCGCTTTTTATCAAATATTGACTCAGTAGATGGCTTTCCATTTCCAGGGTAGGATCGCTTTGCCCTGGATAAATTACTACATCCGTTCTTTGTAGCCACTCGCTCGCATCGCTAATTCGCTGTTACTCAAGCACGTAAAGTATGGGTCTAGGAATGACAGGGTGTGTCTACAGAAAGTAAAGGCTTCAAGGAATTAGGCTGTAGACACGGCTACTTTCGAAGTCAATGGTAAGCGCACGTTGTCGATCCACAAGACGACCACTGCCGTAGGCACCATGTCACTAGACCTACCACCGAGAAAGTCCCAATAAATGGCGGTGCCATTGGTTATCGAAGAGGACCAATAGCTGCATTATTAGTGGTCAAGCCTGTATTCCCCAGAGCTTGGAGGTTTAAAGAAACATTGTCAAAGGATGTGAGCCATAATTTCGTCTGCAGCCTCTGAGGTGATTCGTAGGAAAATGTCACATCGCAGATGTAGTATAAAGTTGGCGGAAGAGACAACCCCGCGGGACGAATAGCGATATCTGCCTGGCTGGCGTCTAACTCCACTTCTCATTCACTTGAAGGCGCAAGGCAGCCGCTCAAGTGACTAATGAGAATCAAGATGTTTGCACACGATGCCGTTAGTGACGTCATTCTCTGCTCTTGCCTTGCCAGGTGGAATGGCCTTTGCAGAGCCATGATTTGTCTTCCTATTACTTAGCTGATGAGATAGACGCCATTTGTCCAGGTTTGGTCTTTTGCAGAACACCATCCGCTGGGCTATCGGGAATATCGGGGAGCATGGGGGGTCCCTTTGCGAGCAGATACAGACTTGACAAAGTGAATACCTCAATCGGATATTTCCCAACATTTCACCATTATCCAGGAGTACAATGGCGTCGTTCTGCGGGAATGGCCGTCCGTGCCTCGGGCGGAGATGATGAAAGCGTCTCGGGGAGGCAAGGCTGGGAGGGCACAGAGAGCCTATAGAGGAGGGCCAATGACTTGGAGACTGTCGGGGTCGGCGGCCGGGGCAATGAAGGTAAATTCCGGAAGCCTTGTGATTAGAGACTGCCAAGAAATTCGCACGCTGTTCGGGTCTGCCCTGACTGTCTGGCTCCTCTAGAACATCCCGACTCCTGGTCCACAATCGCGTCTCACTCGTAGCTCTCCAAGCCCACCCACCACGTTTTTCCAGGCGATATATCACTCAATCAAAATTGACTGTGTTTTTCTATTCTGCAAAAAAATTAGGTGCTAATTTTTGCAGCTTGAATTCGACTTGTCTTCTGTTCTGTCACGTGATGGGATTGCGGCGGCAACGCGTTCCAAAGTCCTCTGCAATGTATAGTAAATCAAGATGTACCAATGTGAGACGAATCGTTCACGAAGCCAAAACCTTTAGGAATTGGTTACATTTTTTTCGGACCGCTCAGCCAGGGCGAGAATCTGCTCGAGATTGCTCGAGCCAATCTTTGTATGAGACAACAGGGGAAAAAGCACCGGCGGCCCATTATGCCCCGAGAACTCGAAGAATGACTGATATGACCAAACAGTAATGCGTCTCCTCTTCTTTGAACCTCGAAGCCCCATGCATGACACTTCGAGCGGCCGTATTCAGCCCGCCGGTGGCCACACCTTTTGATGTTGGCTTGGTATCCCGATGGTCGGCTTAGAGTTGCATATGCCGAGCACGGTCATTGAACTCCATGGCCTCTCATTAGATGATGGCCTTCTTGTTACCCACACTCAAGGCTACTCAATGCGCTTGTATGCATTGAAGTGGCAACGGGTGCACTCGAGTATGGGTAGCTCGGCGGACGAGTCTATATGGCCCATTGAACTGGGTATGATCTTCGAAGTTCTCATTGAATGTGAGGGTTATTGCTCTGCACTGGGATTTCCGTGACGTCTCGGACTTCATCTCGTTTCGATCGCGGATTTTGCCGAAGTACAGGAACGAGCATCCGATGACATAGATGTCGATACCACTGCAATTACCGGGCGGGTGACGTGCGATAGATGAAAAGCATATCGTGAAGAAGCAAAAGTTCTTGCAGAGGGCTGCCCGGCTGAGATCGGTAGGTATTGGTCGCTCGGCGGATAGAGTTCGTTTCGCAGAAAGGATGAGGGAAACTCGCCGGTAGTGAGACGCTTGTCGTAAGGCAATATTTATATGGTGTCAATGCCAAACTCTTGCTTGCGACGGCCAATTGATGGAAAGATCGAGTGGTGTATTCAAGGACGTCGAAGTCGTGATTGTCGGCAGGTCATTCATGGGAACTTGTCTCCAGAGCACGCCAGAATGCTGATTATTGGGCAAAAATTGAATGAAGAATGCCGGGTATTGAGTGTGACGCGCTCACTCAGCAGTGCGAGGCAAAACTCCAACCTCTAATGACGCCAGGATAGTGGCCTGGACGAGAGATCCAGCGCATCGCGGCAAAGGCGGTGAGGGTGTGCAAGACGCGTGCGAGAGTTTGCGCGATGTCCGCAGAGTTGATACGCGGCCTGTACCATTTGGGAAACGACCCTTCAAGATACGTCAGTATGCATCGGGATAAAGGAAAGTCCACTCACGATTCTTCATCTTCGATCTTGTCCAATCTTTGGCTCGCTCTAACGATGCTCGACAGACCGGACCTCGCCTTGGCGTGGATCTGCCCGATCTCCATCTTTCAACCCAACGCACCCTCTTTCTTGCAACATTACGAATATCGCTTCGGATTAGTCACCCTTCGGCTAAGATCATGGCCGTCGATCGATGAGGACTGCATGGAGTAATGGCACTGAGCAGACGTACCTGATTTCCAACGAATGCCCTCACACGAGCTAGCCGCAGCTGTAGCCGTACCGGAGTGTGCCTGTAGCCTTCTTTTGGGAACGCTGCCCGAATCCCAATTCATCTGAGACACCGGCGACGTGTGCGTGGATTTTAAAGTGGCAATGTGGCAGTGTTACTCGAACCTGAGGTATTTATCATCATTGGACGCTTGATGTCTTGTTCTGAGGCATGTTCTGTGGAAGATCGTATTAGCAAGTGGATTGGACTAGAGGCTTCTGGCTCACATGTTCTGATGGCTAATAAGTGAATTTGGCTAGCGTTTTGGAGCTGGCTGGCCGGTGTAGAATGTTCGTAGCGCTTACCAGGGGCGGTTCAATGCATGTAGACGGGGTCGATCGCAGCATTTGTAATATTAGCTTAGTATGAGACAGGTTCAAGCTAACTAGGGACATACCTGCCGCAGGAAGACTCGCTTGCATTCATGATCAAAGAAGCTAATGGGGAGTGACATTGGATCAGCTCAGCTGGGCAAGACTCATAGGTGCTTCCATACGTAGAAGGTTTTTATGCCTTCATCCTGGCTAGCTGGCACGAGATGGAAAAGCAGTGACCACTCAATTGCCTGATGGGAGCTAGCTGACTTGATGATCGGGGTGTGTACTGTCCGTGTCAGTACCGGTACGGGCTCGAAGAAATTCCAAGCTGGCGGAACTAAACATGGGTCGGCTGCAGGACCGCATCTAATGGCTTTTTGGTTCGAGGGAATTCACCGAGTGCGATAAGGTCAGGCAGTGATCTGAATTGACAGAGTGCTGGGGAAGAGGCGATATTTATAGACTTTACGGCTTGTCGTGTCGCCCACCCGCTTCATTTCGCCTCAGTTTAGCCGTGTCTGTCCGTGGCGAATTTTGAGAGGAAATGGTGAAGATGCCTGCCCAAATTGAGGCACGTTGAACACATTTATCCGTTGATGTGATGGTTTGGGTCGCAATCAACTGCAGGTTGTTTAGTCGACGAGAGATCTCTTCTACTGTCATATTGTAGCGTCAAGTTTCTAAAACATCGCCGTTGAAGGAACGTTTGATTGACGGAGATAATGTGCAGATATATCTTGCCTCAGCAAAAACTACTCTGTTAGCAAGAATGCCCAACGTCTAGGTTTCTACTTTTTCAAAGTGTGGTCTTTTTAGGTCCAGCGGTGAGTCAACGACTACACTTTTGAACACTGAGACACGACCTGCAGCGTGATCACCAAATCAATACCTTGTGCCGTTGGCTGTAAGCACAATCATTGTACTGTCAGCATTGACCGTGAACCAGGAGACCAAGCCGATTTAATTGTTTCCC